CCTGGATTTCACACAAGCCCTTTGCTGCCCCTCGGTGGCCGCCTGAGGAAAAGCAGGGTCTGGTTCTGCAGGGAAGAAGCATAAGGACTGTGTGTGGCCTGTTTCAGGCAGGATTTGGTTTTCACTCTCGGCTCTTCTCAGACCTCTCTCCTCTTCGGCCTCCGACTGATCCCTTTAGTCCAAGCATCGTCACATCTCTGGGACACTGTTCACCTGTCTGCTGGACACCACCCTGCACCACCCGGCAGCCAGAGCTTTCTCCCAAGTGACTGAGGGCAGACATACCGCCAGACACAGTCCTTTTGGCCTCAGCTCCTCCAAGTTTCCCAGGGTCCGCACCTGTTCCCTTCCCTGGCCTCACCTTCCTGGTCCGTGACTGACAGGAGATAAGAATAAAATTATGACACCTGAACCATTTCCTCGGCCTGCCTTTTGCTTGTCGCCTCAGATGGCCGGGGAGTCTGTGTGTGAGGTTTAACTCAGATTCAATGTGAAAAGTTCACACCAGAGCTGTTTCTCCCAGCATAGCTAAGTGTGAATTAAATCTCCACATTTATCTTGATGTGGAAAAAGAAACACTGATCTTCCTGTCCGTATATACCCTTTGCAGAGGCTCTTGGGATCCCTGGACCTGTCACAGCCCTACCAGAGGTGCCTCCAGATAGGGAACCTTCCAGGGAAGCCTTTGTGCATTGTTCTGTTAGAAGATGCTTCCTTATTTTGACCCAAAATCTGTTCCTCTAGAAGGAGGGCCTATGTTGTAGCTGGAAGGATCCCCAGGAGGAGTAGCTTTAAGAGTCACCCCTCCTGTGGAGCCTTTCTCAGTCCTTCCCCCAGGTACCCTCACTCACCCCTCCTAGGAGCCCCCCTGCCCTGTACCACCCTGGTTACATTTTAATCGCTCTTTCTATCTCCTTCTATGACACTTGAGCTCCTTGAAGGCATGAACTGTGTCTTGTTCACCCTTGAATCCACAGGACTTATGGCCAATAGTCTCAATAATGCCTTTTGGATGAACGGAGGGATGAATGAATCTGCGCCAACCCGTTGGTTTTATTGAGGAGGAAACTAAGGAGCAGAAGGTGCAGTGATTTGTCCAAGTTTATACACGAGTTAGTGACTGCAAGTGGGACCAGAAGGCACGTGGGGTGGAGATTACACTGCCGAGTTCCTTCAGGGAACTTGGGGCCGAGGGTGCCGTGTGGGAGGGGGACACACCACACTGAAGCAGTGGGAGACAGTCTCCTCCTCTGTGACAAGGTTTTGGTATAAATTCAGCTCTATCAGGGAAACGAGCAGGGCAACATTGAGGGGACCCTGAAGAGAGAATGAACAACACGTATTAAGCACTCGCTGTGTACTAAGCACTTCCATAGACAACAAAGATAGGAGAGAGAGAAAACAGTGTTGCAGAACAGAAGACGTAGACGACAGCTCCTGACTACTCAGCTGATGGTCCCAAGTAAACGCTCTTTACAGCATCCCTGGCAGGGAAGCAGGTGCTGAGATGTGGAACAGTGAGGGGAGTGGGGTTCTGAGTCAGGGTCTAGAGCGAATGAAAGGCTGAGCCTTGCAGACTGGTAGAAAGGGAGGGAGGGCTGGCTACATAGGCGAGGTCGGCCAACACGGGCTCCCTCAGCTCTTCCAGCTTCCAGCCAGCCCTTCAGCCCCACTGGGTCTGTCTTCGGCCCACTCATGCTTCTTCCTTCGTTTCCTAGGGCTGCAGTAACAGATGACCACAAACTGGTCGCTGAAAACAACAGAAGTGAGTTATCCTCACACAGTTGTGGAGGCTAGAAGCCTGAAATCAAGGGATCAGTAGGGTTGGTTCCTTTTGGA